TTCAATTAATTAGAGACTTATAACTTTTCTATAGTTTTTGATGATTTCATTCCTCTTAATGTTTTAGTGTTATATCCATTTAAAAGCTACAGGAATGTTATTTTATGTCAAGACAACAATTTAGAATATTTAATTTAGTATAAAAGCCAGCTGTGGCAAACTGTTTGAAAGACACAGACCATTTTTTATTGAATACACAATTATATTCAATCATCACAACTACACCATCTAAATGTATTTCATTTTGTGTGTTGCTGATTTTTGAAGGAAAGAAGTGAGCAGTGTTAAATGTCATGGAGAAGATCAAACTTTTTGCCGTGATCAAATATAATGGTGAAAGTTCTGTAGCAAACATTTAGAGTGACGGTTTGGGCATGAGTAAGGTTGGTGCCGGATGAATTCTAAAAATGTTCTCACATGAGTAGAAACAGATCCAAGTTGTTGAAAGCCAGTGCTTTCTCCGAAGGTTTCAATAGAGTTGTAACTATGAATGAAACATGGGTTTATCACTTCAACCCAGAAGCAAAAATGCAAAGTTTGCAATGGAAACACCCAAATTCACCCACCCCAAAGACGTTCAAGTGATAACCCTCTGCTGGGAAGGTCATGGCATTAGTTTTTTTGGGATGCCAATGGTGTTTTACTAGTTGTCTGTTTGGAAAAGGGTCAAACCATTAATTATAGGAGGCTACTATACATACTTAGTCAAAAATTTGCATAAAAAAATCAAAGAAAAAAAAGAAGAGGATTGCTCAAAAAAGGTGTAGTCTTCCATCAGGACAATGCTCTAGCTCACAAATCATGTGTTGCTTTGAACACTGTACATAAGCCTATAATCGAATTACTCCATCACCCTACTTACTCACCAAATTCAGCTCCAAGTGACTTCTTCTCTTTCGTAATCTTAAAATCTTTCTGAAAAGTTGAAGATTTCAGAGTGATTATGATCTCATATGTACCGTCCAGTCATGGGTTGAGGACCAAGAAGAAGAGTTCATTCAGAAGGCCATAGAGCACCACTGGTGCAAATGTATAAACTCAGGAGGAGGATATGTTGAAAAATAAGGCCATAAAAACCATAGAGTACTACTGGTGCAAATGTATAAACTCAGAAGGCCATAAAAGCCATAGAGCACTACTGGTGCAAGTGTATAAACTCAGGAGGCCATAGAGCACTACTGGTGCAAGTGTATAAACTCAGAAGGCCATAAAAGCCATAGAGCACTACTGGTGTAAGTGTATAAACTCAGGAGTATATCTATTAAAAACACAGTCATTTTAAACAAAGAACCCAACATAAACAA